CTCTCCCCTTTGTCCCCGGGCTGCCAGCGGGTGAAACATAGGTTGGTTTTCCCAGCTGCGTTTTGGGCTCGGTGAGGGCACCTCCTTGACAGCCATGAACCAGCTAAGAGAGGCTGGGAATGATACCTTCCACCATACACTTACAGACATACAACACAGAAGCAGCTGTTCTCTAAGAAGCAGTCCCAACACAGGCTTATTGCTAACAACAATTTTTATGAAAATATTTAAGCCCCTTTCTCACATATTTCCCCTACTAACTTTTTACTCATCTGAAATATACTTGAACATGAAATCTGTATATGTTAAACATATTTCAGCGGAGTCCCTCCTTCCAGATTAAACACTAAATCTGAAACAAAACTAAGACAAGCTATTTCTCCATCACATGAACTGCAGATGGCGAATTGATCACAAATTAGAACATGTACTTCAAATACAATTAAAGTTACACTGTTTCATGATATTTTTGTTTGTTGTGGTGGAAGAAGATGAAGACATCTTCCTAGCTACCAGGAGCCACCCATCTCTTACCAAAGCTTGATGCCAGGCTCTTGCAGGTTCCTGGTGGGAATGCTTCTGATAGACACAAGAACAGAAATATGCATACAGGAAGCCCAGGTACATGGGACCAGCTTTGCAGCCAGCCAGGCTAGCACAACAGCAGACAGAAATAAAATCTAGGCCAGGAAAGGAGGGCTTACTCCCAGGTAACTGTCCCTGTTTCTTCCCACCCACCCACCCCCATCCCCAAGTAACAGATCATCATTTATAAAAGGAACATTAAAACATTGAAAAATATTTCATTTTTCCTTAAAACACAAGTCACTGGCATTAGAAGACATGACAAAATTTCCGTTCCATGTGGTGATCTGTGTGGTTCATTAAAAATAGTTTTCCACATTTCAAAGAGTGATTCAATATAGTTTGGAAGCTTAGATTGGCACAGGGTCAGTCAGAGCTTAATGATTGCATTTTACAGTATGTATGTATATGTATGTGTTTGTGTGTATATACATATACATACATGTATCTGTACTAATGAGACAGTTGTATAAAATCCAGTGCAGCTCACTATTGTGTTGCTGCTTGGGGAATGCAAATAATTATCAGTTTGTAGGAAATAATATAAACTTTTCTGCATCACCCTCCCCCAGTCCCTGCACATGCACTCTGGGAACTGGATGCTCCACAGATGTATGTTTCCACCTGTGGGTTGGAGAAAAAGACAGATCAATTCTTCAGAGCATATTAGATTAATCAAGGCAGATTATATTTTACTGTATGGAGGAATGTGACTGCTTCCTGCTTTTCTCCTGAGTGCAGAATGTTATGGTGACTCAGACATGAGGAGAAGAAAGCAGAAAGGTCAAAGTACAGGTAACAGCATCCCTTAGAGCTGCTGCCTGCTAGGAACCCTGACCAGAAGGAGAGCAATGGGAAATCTGGGGAACTGCTTCCCCCCACCCCAGCACTCTCATTCTGGACAGACACTGGATTGCAACATATCAGACATGATGTGGCAGGACAATGGTGACAAACAATATTAATAAAAATGCCTTGCTGTTCTACAGTGTCTGTTGTGAGAGAGTCTCAAAGCACTTCATAGGCATTGTGGTATGAACCCTCATAATGCCTCTGTGGAATAGGAAAGTGTTACTATTATCATCACATGTTGACCATGGGGAACCAAAGTGCTGGGGACCAGGCTGTGGGTCATGACACACAGTCCTGGACTAAGTGTCTTTACAGTGACAAATTCTCAGAACAAGTAATAAGGAAAAAAATGATGTAAGAACATCTGTGCATGCTGAAATGCCACTGCTCTAGCTACCAACCCATTCCAGCACACAAAGCAAACCATGGTGCCCAGGAACAAATTGTGGTCATCCAGGGCATAGTGCCTCCCCAGATAAATTTGCTGAAAATTTTCTGTGTTGGTGGCAGAGTCCCTGAAGAGATTTGGCCTTGAAAAGGTTTTTGATGGTTCTTGTGGGACACATCTGCTTAAAACAGTTGAGTGGGTGGAAAAGACGAAGAAATGGGGCTAAGATTTCTTTGGAGTATTATTGCCCAGGTAGGACAAGTTAGCAGACGACCTGTGCTCTTTGTCAGTCTGAATAAGAGAAGGCTCTGAGGTCAAATGGCCTGGAGCACAACACGGCATCTGCACGGGCTACTTGAGTGAAAAATTTCCATATCTGCATCTGGTCCAGCAGCTTCTTAGTTCACAAATGGAACATTTAGATGAAGACTAGAGCTTAAGACATACAGCTATGGAAATGGAAAGAGAGGAGTGTTCACCTACCCGTGGCCTCACATGGTCACCTCTGCTCCTCTGGATCTGCCACCTCAACTCCTGGAGATTCTAGGGTGGACTCTCCTCTACCACAGTGTTCACATCTCCCTGCTTGAAGAGAGGAAGATCCTGGCTTTGCTTGGGCCAAGAGAGAATGGAAGAGCCCCAGAACCTCAGCAGGGACTGCCTCCCCATCAGCCATGTGCGTTTCTCTTCTCTTAAGAGTCACAAACTTCAGTCTGTGGGAAGGTCAGCAAGAGCGGTATTTTCACAGGGATTGCCTTCTGTGAAGAAATATCCAGTGACTGAGCTGAGGAGCTTGGAGGTAGTCAGGGGAGAGAAGTGTCCATCAAGGGAAGGGGTCAGGAGATGAGGTGTGAGCCTTTTCTCTCTTGTCTCTCCCATGCCATGAACTGCCACTCTGATCCATAGGCAATTCTGGTTGTTATCCAGAATGATTTTGCCCAAGGCTGCATGGTAATGACCATCTGAACCATGGAGACTCTTATTTATTCCTTCCCAGTTCAGTTTCCGTCAAACAAAGTCCCAGTACTTCTCACAGATGGAGTCCTTTCTGAAGACAGTCTCCATCAGATGGGGCAGAAGAAAGCTCATGAACTAGGACCCGCAGCCCCAGGACAGTCTGGGAAAGAGAAAGGCCACATGGCCATCCCACAGAGACCTACCTCTAAATCCCACTGAGGGAAGACAGCATGCTCCTCCTGCTTACCCTGCACCAGAAGAACCTAGTGCTGCATCATAAGCCTCTAGACAAGACTCAAGCTCACAACAACCTACAATCATTGTATGCTACAGGACTGACATGTTGAGCTTGGAACATCATTAAGGCCAGGAGGTGGGAGGTATTTGAGGGGAAGGAGAAGGGCAGAGCTAAGTTAAATGAAGTTTAGTGAAGAGCCGTGTAGGAAAAGACTCAGCCCGGGAATGTAGGACATGAAGAGAGAAGTACTGTATGAGAATGTGTTTACAGCCTGAAGTCAGTCGTCATTTCACCCAGAGGAGGGAGCATGCCTGCCATTTGGGTTGGCAGCATGGGTGTGTGCATGTGGTGGGGCTTTGAGTGCACACAATGGACAGTGAGTGCTGGAGAGAGTCCAGCATTAACAGTTACAGCACGGGGTGTGGCTGGCCTTCAAAACCTCTGAGACCCTTTCCTGGCCACAGAAGTCTGTTCTAGTGTGAGTTAGTTCTACAGAATTTGATAGGAACACAAATACAAGGGAAAAAAAAAACCCAAACCAAACCAAAACCAAAACCAACAAAAAACAAAGCAAAGCCCAATCTGGCTAGAAAGCCAAAGATAAAACCCTCACAAATTCTGGACCCACAAGTCTACATTTTAAAGATTTTACAAATATACATTATCTAATTAGCAGTATATCAGATATACAACATGCCCATTTATTATAATTATGCTGGATATATAATTTATATGCATGAAATGTAACTGTCTTCATGGTTAGGATTGGTACTTAGTGGAATTGGAATTTGGAAGGTTTTCTTGGGGGGGCCATTACATGGAGAAAAAAATCAAAGAAAATTACTGACCTGCTTTTTGGTAGACAGACACCCTCAGCTTTCTGCTTCTGCTAAGGGCTAGAAAAAGATTTGCTACATATGGAGTTCTAGGTTGTAACTGAGAGAAGAAAATATGTTCAGAAACAGGGGAACTGGGCCAGTGGAAAATGCTATCAGGAAAATAAAGTTCTGGGGAGAAATCCAGGCTCAGTTAAACATGTGGTAGCCTTGCCTTGCAGGGGTCTCAGTGGAGTCAGGACTTCCCCCAGCACGGGTCAGCAGTGTGAAGCTGAACAAATTCTGGTGCTTTAGGTTCAGCAGTGGCAAGAAGCTGGAGGAAGAGAAGCCCTATTCCTCCTTCCTATTTACATGTTGGAGACACCAAGATACTAGAATGAGTGGAGAAAAGGGTCTAACAAGCATTTCAGCATATTTGTGCTTATTGAACACATCAACCCCACTACTTCCTACACTGAGAGAGCAGGCGATTTGTAGGCACTAGTATATTTTTATCTTATGAGTATATTTAATATAAACTAAAACTTTATTTCTCAGCCAGGCTATTCTTGTCCCTAGATCTGCCAGTCCCCTAGGGAAGTCTGCCCTTGAATATGCTCCAAGGGTGAGGAAGAACAGATGTATGGATGCTGGCTGATATCGAGCGGTCTGGAGGTGATCCCCAGCAGCCAGAAGCTTATCTACTTGCTACAGAAAGGCCAAACATGAGGGCTGGCATGAGGACCGAGAACAGGGCCCCTTTCCACCCGGATGGGGTGCTGCATTTCCTCCTCCCTGTCTTGGGCTGCATGAGACTGTTCCTACTTGTAGCAACTGAAAAGTCCTAAATTCATAAAAACAATGAGATAATGCAGGTGAGCCCTTGGAAGGAGCCATCTACTACTATGGCTTTCTTTGACAGAAACTGATGCATGTCAGGAAATTTCCTCTATTATCCCTCACTATGGTCTGTTTGCGTGCTTGAGTTCTTCTTATGTCACTGATGAAGGGGTGGCTTTAAAAACAAGAATGTGGATGGGACTGTCAGAGAAGTCTTTTCAGACACTGAGTTATTAGAGGTTATCTTGGCCTATAAGGCCACTGCAGTACGGGGTGCTGTGGCCACCCCAGTCCTTAATGAGTATCTACAATGCACGAGGTCATATCAAACAGTCACCTCTGTTTTGCTTGCTGTGCGGTAGTGATGGTGGTGTCCTGGAATATAATGCAGTTGTTCTACTGTGTTGTGCCGTCGGGAGGCGAATGCTTGGCGCTTGGCGGAGGTTGGGTTCATACCTAAGGTATTGTACAAGTTATTTGAGGCACTAGGATGGGAGTGCATTTTTGTCATCCTGTAGCGATCCAAGACAGGTGTTGATACAAAGACGTCTGTGTGTGACAATGCCCGTGACATAGACTGCTCGGGGTACCCCGACCGCTCCGGGGAGAGCAGGGGGTCTTGGGAGTGGAGGCGCTCTGCGGACAGAAGCTGCTCGTCTGAGAGGATCCGTTCATAGGACATGCTAAACTCCTCGGGCATGATCCTCTCAGGAGACAGCACTCTGTCCTGGGACATGGCCCTGATGGGACGGCGAGGCCTCTCTCTGTGGTTGGTCTGTTGAGACATTTTGATGACGTTGATAGGGAGCGTGCCCCGGGCTGCCAGGTCGGGCAGGTGTCTCCTCCTCATGTAGTATTCATCAGCCTCTTTGTCAGCTGTGGGAAAGGAAAGGGAACAGTTAGAAATGTCAGAGTGTTGTCCCATGGGGTGAAAAGAGGCTGTGGACAGCACACGGCCTTGGAGCAGCCTCCTGGTGAGACCCGAGGGACTATCTACCAGCAGCTGGACCTGGGCATGGGCATCCATGTCAGCGTGCTGCCTGTCAGAGAGACATCAGCCCTGTGTGGGTTGTGTTGCCATGGGCTTATGGCAGACGGAGGGAGTTATAATTGCATGCAGACAGGTATAAGGCCCTGTGCAATGCATCACACCTTCTTGCATCATGACACAACAGAGTCCTTATGGTGTCAAGTCCAGGCTGTGGTATGGCATGATTTACACAAATGGTGCGTTATGGAGAAATTATCAAACGTCACCTTCACAATACACTTACAAAGAAAGCACAGGGAAGGTGAGCTGAGGCAGGCAAGTTCCCCATTTGAGGAAACTCATACCTCGCTTCTGGCCTCAGATGTGGATGTGCTCTGGGATCCATGAGTGACTTCATCATGTTTTTAATTACTATTTTTGAATATTTGTAAATGTGATCACAAAGCAGGTTTGTTGGGCATGGGATGCTTTCTCTGAGACATTGAATCATCTGCCTAAGGTTTCATTTTCCATTTTTTCAGACACTTTGGTTGTTGAGATAGTAGAATTTATCCCATGGAACATTTCTTGCTCAGTTTGCTTCTTCTGTGTCGTAAATGATCTCTTTGTTGCTCGGAAACTCAGCACCCCGCCCCCCTCCCCTCCTCTTTTTGGCTTTCAAACAAATGCCTCAGACTCAGAGAGGATGTTGGCTACTGCAGATGTACCCTGATATATCACTTTAATCCTACAGCAGCTGGAATGTCCTGATTCAACGAACTTGTAACTTGAAGAAGCAACTCCACAATTATTTCAGCTTTTTTAAAAAAACAACAGAAACACAAAAACTTTCTGGTAAACCCATTTGATGTTCATATGCCTTAAATTGGGGTACTGGGATTACCTACCTGGAATTAAGATTAGCAGTCCTTGGGCTTCAAGCTCAGTGCAGCTTGTGAACTGTCATGATGGATGCAGAGGTGTAAAGCATGGAACATCAGTCCCTTACCAGAAGTATACTGTTATAAGTGGAAAAGCACAATGCTGGCCTCCATGGGTCAGGGGATGGAGGCATGTTTAATGCTCATCACTGATCATCTGTATAAGCCTTCTTCCTCATTTCTTTGTCTAAGATGCTTTCCTGATGTGTTCAAAAGCATCTCCCATGCTTTCTGGCTCATCAGTGACTTCAGAAGACCCCAAAGTGAGACCCATCCCAGACACCTGGCAGGCAGCCATCCTCTCCTTGGAGAAGACAGCAGAACACCTGCTGGTGTGTAGGAAGGGGAATCTTCATGCAAAGGAAAAGCAAATTTGTCCACCTTACAGAGGAAACAAGGTTTCTTGCAAAGTAACCTTATGGGAGCAGACTGGTGTAGAGACTACTGAGCTGGGAACACACACACGTGACCCAATATGCACTTTTCCTATCAGTCTTAAGCCAACTGTTGATGGGCAGAGACATCATCTCCTATATGTCCTGGCCAGCTCCTGGGACCTGTCATAAAATTCCTTTGGAAAGTCTTTTTCTTATAAGACAAGTATGATAAAGATACATGATAATAATGATAATAAAAAGGAACACCACTGATTTTCTCAGCTCCAGTATTTCATTCAGTAGTAGGTGATGTAAGATGGGAAATTATCAGATGGTAGAAGAGGAAAACTTCACATGCATGGAATTCCTGAGGATGTTTGAGTTATAAAAAGAGCAAAGCTCTGCTGCAGGACAGCGTGGGGCAATCACAGGATGGGTGAGGTAGATGGTCCCACTTCCGATACTTAGAGTCTCTGTAGGCATTCAACAGACCTGGTAGTTAAATACAGTTTGGAAATTTCCTATTTCCTCTGACATAGCCATAAATCTATAAGTTTTATGCACCGCTTTGGCTGAGAAATGAAGACAACTGCCTGGCTGTCCCATGAGGCAGAGTGCTTTTGGAGGAAATGTCAATGCCTTGTGATACGTGATTGGTGCTGACAACATCCCAGAAGTTTGCTCACAAGGCTACAGTTACACATTGGTGCCTTAAGGTCTTCACCCAAACCCTGGAGTGCTGTAAGCTTCCTGTGCTGGATGATCTTATTCACTATTTTCCTCATCTCCTCTCCCACACATTCAGCGCTCTCTTCAATGCCCCCTGGACCCTGCTCCTCATGGTCCTGTGAACAGTCCACATAATGCAGATGATCTGTGAACAGGACGATTGATTCCCCTGTCTCAGCATCCAAAAGTACAAGCTGAGCATATATGTGTTGAAATGTATGGCCTGTTGGCACTGCTGTTGCTGCCAACCTCTTCTTTACCACCTACACATCACCAAGGCGTGAGGATTACCCAGAGCTCTCCTGCACTGGCATGCTTGCTGCTGATGGGATTTGCTCTCCAGAGTATGTATTGTAGAAATGAGTCTTTTTTTGCAATCAAGAACTTCTTGGAAGAATATCTCATTGCAAATGTCAGACAGCAGCTCCCCTGACCTCAAACCCTTGTGTCTTTAAAATCACCTTCTAAGAAGCCTGAGAAGGACTGGGGAAATTCCATATGGCAGCAGTAATTTTAGACATTGTTATTCTATAATGTGGCCATAGATATACTTGCGCACACTTAGTGTGCACAGGATTATGATGCCTGAGGCTGAGTACAGAATAGGAGCTGAGCAATTAGCACTCTGGCACTTGGTCTCTGCTCTGGATGATAGAATTTCCACTGGATTTGCCCAAGTGACTCTAAATTGATGTAATTAAAGCAGAGAACATCCCAAATGGAGATGTGCTTGGATGCTCGCACCTGGCTGTAGTAATTGCCAGCAGGAGCTAAACCAGCTTATGTGAGGTTTACAGTGGTCTGAGTCTGCTAGGGAGGTGGCAGAATCAGCTGCTTAAAAGTGGTTTGAAGTTGTTTCTTGCTAATTTAGAGAAAGAAAAGCAGCATGTTCTACATTTTAAAAAGTTTTGCCAATTAGGAGCATTAAAAATATCCTTTCCTTCCCTATTCCATCCCTGTAAACAGTGTAGAAGTTTGCATGGCCTTTTGCTGGCAGTGGCTAAACCATTCAGGGAACTGATTTCATTTCAAAGGTGTTTCTAAGCTCATGCAGGCTGTCTCCTCCCATGATGCAGTTGGCACAGGTATTCTGGGAACATTTTCAGGTATAAATAAACTTCACATCTCCATCTCAAAGGAATGAAAGCCGAAATGGCAGTTTCCCATGAGCAACAAGCTGGTTTAAGCAGGCACCAGACAGACATTTAACAGGCTGTTGCCTCTGAAAGGTGGTGTCAGTTCATGAGCTCTGCTGAACCAGTCATGGAGAACGTAGCTTGACGAGAGGCCGAGTGTGCTGTATCACACTGTGCCTTCGTGCTGAGGGAGAAGCTCAGCACAACTCTCTAACCACAGCATTTCTGCACCCAGAGGAAGCATGAAATGAATACAGCTCCAGGCTTTTGAGAGTGGAGGCACCAGGTGCTTCACTCAGTGGAAGGGGGTGGGAACTGTAGACATCTGGTTGCATAGTTTGCTAAAATCAAAATGTCTCCAGGACTTGAGACCATCCAGTCTGATTCATCTCATCCTCATTGCACCAGCAAGTTCACTGGGAAAATGAGGCTCTGATATTGCTACCGCTTATCTTTTCATTGATGTTTATATGATAACTGACATTTGTAATTTTAGTCAAAGTAAAACTACAACCAAATATGTTTCTCCCTCATGAATGTGCTTAAAAATTAAAAGATGTGTCCTAAGTGGATTCCAAAAGGCCAGAAATGATGACCAGACAGAAAGAAATCACTGACCTATTGATTGACAGAAATTTCTCTTTTTTTAAGTCATTCTTGTACTTCTGAGGCTTCACTCCTGTTTTTCAAACATTTGGAATTTAAATTACTGGAAATCACATTTTCTGCACAATTTCTGGGTTTTTCTCATTGGTTTTGTGGGGTTTTTTTTCCATCCTTTCTTTCCTCCTTTGGCAGTTTCTAGAATATTGACCAGGGCTGGTCTCACCAAAATTCAAGAGTGGGTGAGTGCTTCATCTGGCTTGGTTTTAGGGTAAACTGATTTGCCCTCAGACAGCTTTTTTTTTTTCCTCCCATTTGGAGGGAGAGCCCCAAATGAGCACTCTTACATATCTCACCTCGTTTAAGAAGCCATTGCAGAAAGGCAGAGCACAGCTCCTCTGACACTGTAATTAGAGAAAGAAGGTACATTTGTGGTGTTCCGGGAAGAGAATGTGGAAAAGCCATGGATATTTTTTCTTCCCATGGTTGTATGCTAACATGGTGAAAATATATGCATACTTCTATGTATGTAAGGCCATCACAGTAATTTCTTTGCTTTTCTTTCTCTGCAGTTCCAGTGTATTTCCTCTTTGGGCTTGTCTCTCCTGTTTTAATTGGCTTTAACATTTTCAAGCTGCCTAGTCATTTGTGATGATTCTTTAGCCAACACCAAGTGGTTTAATATACCTGAAAATATTAGCTTCCTTCTTGACTGACCTTTCTCACTTAGCTGGAAACAGCAATTCCCTGGAGTGCTGGGCAGGACAGAATTAATACGGCTGCTCTTGCTCAGCCGCATGTTCCCACACCCACCCACCTACCACTGCTCTTCCCACGTGCCAGCTTGACAGGGCTGCCAGGGCAAAGCTGGCACAGGGCTTCCCACGGAGGGGGTACCCTGCCCCTCAGAGCTCCTCCTACCTGGCTTCACAGGTAGCAACCCTAGATGGGTTTCTTTTTGTCTGTGCCTTGAAGTAAGAGCTGGGGAGGTAAACAGCCATGGAAGCAAAAAGCTCACTTCTTGCATGGGACCTGGTTCTGGCTGGCTGCTATGCAGCCAGTAACCTGTTTCCTGTTGCTCCTAAAAGGCCTGGACTATCTTCAAGCTCTTGCTCTGGAAGGAGAAGAAGCCATGGTGCTGGTTTCTCAGTCAAATGCCAGCAGAGGTGAGTACCTGCCCTGCAAATCCAGCGGTGAGGAGCTCCCCTCCCCAAGCTGGGCACATTCCCCAGGGACGCACAGGTGCAGGCAGCAGGTATAGCTCATCTCTTCATTGTTGTACAAATCACTTAGATGAGTCTCCTAAAGTGGGATGTACTTTCTTAAGCTCTAGGCATCAAAAATTAGGCTTGTTACCCAGCAAAGAGCTAGGTAGCTTCCCAGAGCAACTCTGGTGTCAGTGAGAGACTGGGACCTTCAGAGGGTTCATATGCACATGACTGTCCTTCAATGATTACAGAGATGCCTGCGTCAAACAGACAGACAAGATTCCTGATTGCTGGCTGGCTAAAGTAGGGTGAGGTGGATCTGACCATACCCTTGCTGGGCTCTGTCTCCTCATCTCTGGCAATGAAATAATAAATATTATTTCTTCCTGGATATGCCTTGATTATTCAATTTAGATGTTCTTGGGCAGAAACTGTCTTTCACTATCTGTCTCTGCTAACTGTGGGAAAATAAGTGACCTTTAGCTGTCTGGCAAGCCTGAGGAAACCCAGGCAAATAGCTGAAACAGCCTAAAAAAGTATCTAATGCCTATAGTATTTCTTTTGTTTTACTCAAAAAGAAAGACTGTATTTGTTAATGACCTCTTTACAACATTCATTTTTTTAAACCATGGCAGGGAGTTCATTAGAAACAAGTAATTTTAAATATGAAAAATAAATGCCCAATAAGTCATTTGCAAAGCCCAGCATTTAGATATTTCTTTTTTCTGGATTTTGTGTTACCTTTAGCTCCTTCATATGGAATAGGAAAATGATATTGCTGACATTTTACAAGGAAAGGTCTAGAAGCTGAGTGCCTATTTTCCTTTGGCGCTGGAGAAGACCAGCTATAATAAAGTGATTCAGTGATTCTAGAGGTGCTGAGCATATGCAAGCGCAGTGGAAGCATAGAGTGCTTAGCACTTTTAGAGCTGAAACTGCTTATTTAGTTACTCAAACATACAGTGTGAGGCAGTTGGTTTGACGTTTGTCAAGTGCTTTGCAAGAGGATGTGTTGGTGCCTTGCAGAGATGACAACTATATCTAGATCTACCATTGATGGGTAAATAGCTGGTATTTCCATTGCAGTGTGCATGGATTCCCTTCTAGGGTTGACGCTGCTGAAAAATTTAAGGTGTGAATGAACCCCGCTCTAGCTAATGACTAAAGACTAACTCTAATGTTCTTAGATTCATGTTGACTGTCAGGTATCCTCTGAATAGGAAGAGGGACACTAACTGTCCAGAAGGTCAGGAAAAGTTCAAGAGAGGGATGCTCAGCACATTCTTGAGGACATTTAATCTTGGCACCTTAACACAAGCCTATTTTTGTCATTTTAGACAAATATCTAGGAAATGTAATGCTGGACTTCAATACTCATTCCCTTCTGCTGTGATCTACTGAGGGGCAGGTTGTACAGGTAGGGGCTTGACCTTTCTTCAGCTGCTGAGCAAAACTTTTTGCAGCCAATGGGTCAGACTGCTAAGAGACCACTTAGTAAGGTATTGCTCAGTGCAGGGATGGCATTGCTTGGTGTGAGTGAATTTACACTCAGTGTGAGTCAGGTAAGCATTGTAGGAGTAGGTAGAGGATAGTGTTCAAATCTGACATACATTTCCACGTGTTTCAGTTAGCATTCATTTGTGGTTTTTTAATGTTTCAGTGAGATACATCAGTAACTTTAACATGGAGCTCAAGGAGATTTCACTGAGCATCTATGCACAATATGTAAAGCAATAAATGAACCACAGGCTGTAAGAGGTCCTCACAATCCCCTACGTCATGACAGGAGCAGCCATTGTTGCTGTTCCTGGTGGGCACTTCTCTAACATGTTCTCAGTGATGCGAGGACAGAGATCTCCCAGACTCTGAATAGGAAGTACGTACCACAGGTAATCCCAGGCACTACAAATCAATTACAAATGAAACAGTAGGGTTTTATATATGTGTATGTGTATATGTATGTATATTATAGTATTTTTTTATATTTTTATAGTAGTTTTTTTATATTTTTGTTCTCAGCTGAGAAATGAAAATAGATCATCACCTCAAAATGGGGACATTTGAAAGCAGTAATATTACAATGCCATGATTTCAAGGGTTTTCCAATATCAGATAGTATCATCAAAGCTGCTCAAGAACATGGACGGTTCATCACTGGGATGCATCGAGGGAAAAATGCTTATGGTTGGGAGTGTGAGATCCAAATGTTACCAGGGAACAAAGCTCATGGCAGAAGCAGAGTTGTGCACGTGGCACACTGAACAGGAAGGATGGCAGGCTCCAATCACAAAATACCTTATCTCTGTTCTCCAACACGGTTAAGAACATGCTTACTTTTAAGCACATCAAATGTATTTGCCTTAATGTTAAATGTACATAAGTCCCACACTGAAGTCCCAAGGAGTGGGCTGAGATTTTTATGTGCTAAGTTTCCATTCCATTTTCTCTTCTGAAAAATCTTCCACAGAGATTTCTTATGGACAGTCCAAGGGCTTCCCTGCCACTTAATTTTGTTTGTCTCACTTAACTGGCTAAATTGGGAATACAGATTTTATATAGACTAAGGAAGTAGGATCTGCTCCTCATCCTCACCTACCTTCAATGAAGCAATTGCAACTATAAACACCCAAGTTATTTCTCTAAATTAGGCAGTGTGAATACATGGCTGCATCCAAAAAATGCTCATGGAAACATACATGCTACAAACCTAGTGTCAGTTTGGAGACAGCATTTTCCTGCACAAATATCACTTATTTCATAATCCCACCAAAGCTGAAGAGTTTGCCATCAGCAAAGGTGATGGGCTGGACCATTACAGGAAAGTTGGCAGAACAATGCAATACATAAAATAGCAGGAAAGAACAGATACTAACTAGTGTGAACAAGGTAGTGAGCAATGTGCTGAAATATCAGAGATGCACCATGGATCAGTGTACAATACAGGTCAGGACCAGATCTGGACACATACACCATGAAACACAGCAGATTGCAGCACTGTTCAAGGCAGGCAGATGTGCTCCGACTGAAATAGTAGCTCCCAACCATTTCAGCAGCTTTTTCTTGGCCTGGATTTGTCATCTCATTCCAGATACTCCATGGATGGTAAGATACCTGCCCTGGGTATGCTGAGGTGAGCTCAGCTGACCTGAGGCAGCCAGCTTGGCTCATGTCAACTCCGGCAGAAAGAAAAAGGATTCTCAGTTGACTCTATCAGGAACAGATAGGAGGTGGAGTAGTGGAAGGCAGCACAGCAAGGAGGTCAGTAAGCAAATAACCACATGTGTTCTCACAGTAATGAAGCGATTCTTTCTCTATACTCTTCCTTGATGGGGAGCAACAGCCAAAAGAATCATTACCGGAGATGCCAACTTGGGCAGTACAGCAATAGAGGGAAGAAGGTTATTGCTTTAACATTGTGCCCACCATGGCTTACAAGCAAATGAGATACAAAGGAAATGAAATGAGCTGACACCTACTTAGTCTCTTCAGAGAAGAATATTTACTTGGATTTGTCTTGACGGCAGACTCATAGGATGGTGGGAGGTGAGAGAGGTTCTGGAAGGACCGGGAGAAAGACAGATCATAGGGTTCGGTGGCAGAAGTAAGGATGTTGTTCATTCGTGGCTTGTCTGGAAGAAAAAAAAAAACAACAACAGAGAAAGGCATGTCTATATTATGCACCAAACTAAGCTGAGAAAGGCAAGCCATTCCCACAAACTCCGGCAGGGAGAATAGCTGTATCTGAGCCAGCCTCAGTGACAGGCTGTTGGACATAATTCAAAGTAGTACCGACAGATCAGTGAAAAATGGATCCTGTGGTGTTGTTCCCTTGTCCACAGTGATTATGGAGAGAAGCAAACAGCTGCCTCAAAAGTGCCTGGACCAACCAGCTCTCCTTACAGCGGGATGGTGGTTCTGGTGGACTCAGCTCACTTACCGTGGAGGGCGGTGTCATGGTGCTAAGAACTGACCCCACTGCAGCCTGCATGAGTTCAGGCAGCACCTACCTTTACCTCAGCAAGCTGTGCTTTCCCCACCCTCAGAGATATAGGAACGAGTCTATGGGGTTATTTCAACTGGGGCTGATAATCAAATTGCTCTCGTTATGCCAGATTTCTGATTAATGCTCTGAACCTGGAGGCTTATAGGCAAAGCCGGTCCATGGCCCCAGCTGTTCTGGTGGGCTCTAGAGACGTCCATGCTTCACCTGCACACAGGAAAGTGTGAAGTGGAGCTGTGGGGTGCACATCTGGGTGCAATCAGAAGACAAGGCAAGGTTTGGAGAGCTTCCTAAGGCAACAAAGGAGGTGCCATCCCTGAAGGCTGGAGGATGTCCCTGTACTTATTTTCATTTTGTTGGTCACTGAGGTAGTCCCCAGCCTGTGTCAAAATGCCCACTGTCAGGATGCTAATGCTGAGGGCACTGTCAATAAAGATAAGCACTGAGCCTGGATGTTAAAATTCAAGTCCAGACAACCTTCAGAGTTTTGAAATCATAGTCCTTTGCTGCAAGCTGGATAGAAAATGGTCTTTTATCAGCTCAGCCAAGGGACAGGGACCTGTTGAATTGCATCTATAACTCCCAGGTGTTCAGATATTAAAACAGGTAGGTACAAGAGTATTAAAAATAGCAGGAGCTTCAATTATTAGAAGCAAAGCTAGAACTAACTACAGTGGGCTCTAGAGGAGCTTGCAGCAGTGATGGGATTGCATTAGTTGAGTCAAAAGGCCAAGGAGGTGGCCACTTCAAGTACAGTCTGAAAATGAAATCAGAAGGCTAAATTCTCTCATACAGCCAAGAAGCAGCAGAATGCCCATGTCCTGGGTTCATGCATTCCTGTTGTGCACCCATATAAAGTGTGCTCATGAAGAGCAATGCAACATCTCCTAGAAAAAATTAAAACAAAATCCACCCAAGTAGGGCACAGATATTTCAGCAGACATTTTTCTAGACCTGAGTTACAAATTAAAACCTTTCCTGCAAAAAAAAAATTTGCAGGAGTCAGGCCACCTCCTCCCCTGCTGCCTTTGTCCTGCGTGGAGTCCTGTTTGTGTTAGACAGCAGAACATCTTCTCTGTGAGTGCTCACATTTCTCTACGTCCTTGGTGCTCTCTGTTGCCTAGAAATGGACCCAGCAGTTCCCACACATGTCTGCGTGTGGAGATGCAGAGCTGCTCTACAACTTTTCTCCCACTGTGACTTTCCCTAGATGTTTTAAACCTTCTGTGACCTACCCTTCATATTGCACACATGCTTCTCAGTGAAAGACAGGCTGAGACAGTCTTGTCTTCCAGCACAAACCTGCTCATGATTTTCCAAAGCCAGTGTGGTCAGAGCACTCCTCTGCAGCTCTCAGCAGGGTTACATGCCCAGTGCTCAATTCAGAGGCACCTGAGCCATTTGGGGTATGCCAGGGTATCTAAGACACCCACAAAGGGCAGAAAAGAGTGATGTGGGACCTATCAGAGATCTGATGCCACCCATATTTAGGTGCTTGAATAACAACTACTATGTCAATAAACCCAACACTTGCTTTTTCCTGCCCCTGTTGTCACTGATTCCATGCACTCTGCTGCTCCATGAGTTTCCTCACAACAAAGCTTCCTGCAGAACAAATCACAACAGTCCACTCTTTCCCAGCTATGTCCAAGGTATGACCGTGAGTGGAAGAACAGCTTCCCCTCTCCCTGAGCACCAGTCTGGCACCAACCAGCATGGGATATCCCATCTTGTGTGATCCCCCACTGCTGCCAGCACAGCAAGATGAGGGGGAAGGAAACTGCTCTGTCAGCAACAGGGGCTTCACATGTTTCAGCAAGCACCTGCATGCTGTTTTCAGAACAACTGAGCCAATGTCAGCCACCCCAGAGAAAAGGAACAGCCCAGCTCTCTGCCAGAGCATCATTTTGTTCACAGTTCTGAGAAATTATGAGGCACTTTCTTACAGAATTTAGCAATGGTGAAAATTCCCTCTTAACAGTACAATAACCATCGTGGTAAATAAACTCTTCTTTTCTATTGCTTATGTGTTTCTCTGCACTCCTGGAATAGGGTTATTGTCTGGCAAAAAGAACATAGCCCCACGTGAGCATATAGCTAATGTGTCATCTCTCTGAGAACATTATTTTCTTGCTGATGACTTCAATCCATGTCTAATAGACTGACTGCAGGATTAGGAAGTGCATCATATTCATCAGGGCACTGGAAACAATTGATTAGATATTATCCAGTAAACAGAGACTATATCAGCATTGAAACTATGTCCCTACTCCTATTTGTGCTTGTGTGGCAAGGACCCTGGAGTAACATCTCTTTGCAAATTTCTCAGCCAGAACCTGTATCTAATCTCCATTTTGCATGGAGGTTTGGACATGCTGAAATAAGCCCAGTCATATGTATGGAATTTGTGTTCAGTGCCAAAGCAGGAGCATTAATTGACTGCTTGCACGAGGTGTGTGAAATTAAGTGCCACACATTTATCTGATGGGCTTGTGCAGAACCAGTACATCTTCTTACTGCTTTTTCCATCCAGTCAGTCAGAAACAGACTGTAATGATTTTGGCAAATGAGAAGTCACCTTGAAATCCACTACCCATCATTCAGCAAAATAAGGGATAAACTGAAATGACCAAAGATAATTTCAGATGTCTTTTGCATAATGTAGTTTGAGGGCAAGATCAGAGAACTAAGAGACTCTATTAAGGAGCAATATCTTGTGCAATATATATTCTGGGACCAGTTCAGCAGAAGTTTCTTAGTAGTTCTTCACTCCTGCAATACATTTGAGTCATGCTTTTCTCTGGCCTCTCTCCTTTTTGTTTGTGGTGTTTGTTGGCTCCTATGGAAGACGCAGGACATAATTAATTAACAGGATGTAAATAAAAAGGTCTCTCCTTTTCCTGCAAGGTGGCTGAGGTTGCACGCTGCTCTGTTTCCCAGCATTTCCACTCATTCCAGTGGAGCTCTACATTCTGGGCAATGGGAGATAACCACAGGAAAATGGACAATATGTCCCATGGTTACTGGGATTACCTTTGAAAGTTGGTATTAGTCCACATTTTCCTCACCACCATCCTGCAGTCACATGCCATTTTATGCCTCTCTGATATATGATGCATTCTGGACACAATTTACAAAGTTATTTGCAGAGGGACGTGGAGGAAATGAAGCTCACCCAGTGCATAGCATATACAACAGAGATGGGAACATCATCCAGTAGTGTCCTTTCTCTTGGTTTCTAAATTCTTTTTGCTACAGACTCGAAGTAACCACATGTTTTTACAGCCAATGCAACATCTTAAAATTCTGCCAGTGTCTCTCTGATTAATTCAGCAGGAGAGGGCTCAACTCTGCAGCATTTCCCCATCTACTGAGCATCAGTGATTTCACGGTGCTTTGACCAGAGTGCCGTGTTGCTCCAGCCACTGGCAGGGCTGGTAGCACGACACAGCACTGCCAAAAATTCACTAGGCTGCACAATGTTGGCATGATAAGTTCAGGAAGGGAGCAGGCATCTCTGTGGAGAAACACTCTTCCTTTGCAGCGCTAATCTCTCTTCTTGGACACCTACCAACCAAGAACCGTGCATTTCTTCTGCATGAGCCAAAATTGTTGGGCTGGTCCAAACCCTGTTGTATTTCCATGAGAACCAGTGGACTCATGGGCCAGGCTCAGAAAGGCTCCCCTGCTCCACTCAGACCACGGTCTTGCATAAAATCTTGAGAAGGTGCCACCCTGGAGCAGGCTGGCAGAGAGCTCTGCACCCGAGGAACCAGGAGCACTGCCTGCACTGAGGGACTGCCAGAAGAACATGTCTTCTGCTACATTCTGCATCCTGAAAAGGGTCTATGGCCTGCGGTTGGTATGTCACCCACACGGATGTTAGGGGGTTGCAGTTCCCTCTGTGCATTGGGGACTGCAATTATAGCTGGCCTCTGAGTAGACGTATGGATTCACTCCTCTGCTTTATGCATGCACTCGACTGCTTTGTAATCTAGGAAGGAAAGAAGTTCACTCCAAGTTGAGGGAGATCCTCATTCCACTGTCAGTGCTTTGCAAACTTTCTGCAAGCACAAGGCTCAGAAGCAGTTTCAGGATTTCTAAAGCTGGAGACTTGTGTTGTGGAGATTAGACCTGAAGTCTTCTTGAAGTGTCTTGCTCTTCCCCTGTTCTTGGAAAGGAGTTTCTGTTTCAAAGTGTGTTTACATGAGGTTCAGAACCTTTCACGTACAAGGACACGAACAGTTGATACCCAAGACAACAAAAGTGAATTTATGGCAAAGTTTTAAACAAAGCTCAAGTGGCAAAAGGGATCTGCTCCATATTTGCATAAGTCTGCACATATGTTGTGTGAATTTTGCAAGACATTTCAACAGATGCCTTTTAAAACATTCACCCAGAGAAAGCAAACAATGTCACCTAGGAGAAGCTGATACAACCAAGCCTTCTGCTGCTCAGCTTCAGCTCAGCATAGCTTCAGTCCTCTGTCAAAGCACACATTGCTTCCCCAGCACTGCCTTCTGCTTAGCCATTTGAAGGCTCAGACACAAAGTCTTCTCCAATTCTGATGCAAGCTCCTACAAAGGACTGCATTCCTCAGGAAAATCTGGTAGTAGCTGATGACATTTG